TTTCTTCGGTGAGCCTACAGTATCTTTTACGTGTTAGCAAACAATTACCTATTTCCACAACCACCAGCCGTCAAGTAATATCAGTTTTGTTGACAAGTATCAAGGTTACAAGGTTTATTTATTTTTTTTATTGTATAACAGGGTTCCTCAACAAAATGCAGTTTTCTAGTCACATTTGCTAGCCAACTTTTCCTCGGTACAAACAGTGACAGTAAAACGTTAAAGCACTTTACTCAGCTCGCTATTTTGTCAGAGAAGAAATGATGAGCCTGTAATAGTTTGATATATTATTAATACGACAGCTGAGTGAAGTGTGTTAACGCCTTCACAGGCTTGCCACTGCGTGCCACTTGCTGTCTCTCCAGCATGATGTAAACATATAACCTTGTGGTGGCGCGCTCATGTGATTGATTGAAAATGGAGGAGACCTCTGATTGGCTACAGATAATTCCCTGATAAAATCTATTTGTGAATTGAGCAAGTGGCAACCTCCAGTGCTGTGAAATGAACCCAACTCAGAAATGCCAAAAACTGCAGTTGATTAAATGGCCACTTGAGGCTGGCTCCAAAAGCGAGTCAATTCTCAATGGCCCCCATCATAAAATACCGAACTTTACAGCAGAAATTGGTATGTTTAAAGCCTGGTACAAAAACTGTTTTCGTCTTCATGCTAATGCCCCCCCGTTCATGACAACTTTACGGGGGCTGAAATTTTATACAACTCACCTGTTTGAATTCTATAAAGTCTGAAAGTTAGGCATAATTAAGGGTGTAGCCGCGTTAAGTGACAGGTGGGGGCCGTCATGTAGGTGTCACCTCAGCTAATTTGAGTCACTGGACTTAACCTCGCGGCCATGTTTGTGGTGTTGGTGACTTTGGGAGATTTTTTTCATGCAATTATCGGACAAATATGGCTTGCTGTGCGGTTAATTTTGAGCCGGGCATCCTGCTGGCCAATGTTCAACAGTTTGTACATAAATGTACCAACATCCAAATGTGTTTTGAATGAATATTTCATATCCTTTAATTACATTTATTTGAAACCAGAAATATTTGAGTGTGATCAGACATATATTTGTGATTCAGTTTTTATATTTGGTTTACATTTATATCTAATGATAACTCTTTTTTGTGTAATGAAAAGCATATTTGTGGAGAGACTCATTTATATATAAATCACAAAATATATTTGTGAATCCTTCTTTGTGCATTGATTCATTTTGAGATTGATCTGTCCCCACAATCTTTTGCCATTTTTGCATTAGTGTGCGCGTGTGTGTGTGTGGGGGGGGGGGGACCTTAAAGGTAGACTAAATGAATGAGTGTATGTCCTTATGGTCTTCTGTTTTTTATGCATAAATGACTGACCCTCGACTCAAGAGTAATATGTTTCATTTTTTTTCTCGTTTGCTCTAGTCCACCACCTGATCTTCACAACTATCTTACTGTATTTGTTTCAAGTACTGCATAGACTATACCCGTTGGTAAAATGTCCTTGTTATTTCTGTGTTATTATTTTCTATTCCACTATTAATTATTGCAGTCGTATCATATCCTTTTTTGTTAAAAAAGTTTTTTTGAGCCTTGCTGTTAAGTTCTTAGACAGGAAATCAGAATTGGCCAAGAAAATGACTATTGGTGCATCAAACAATACTTCAAACTAAAACAAAGACCTCAAAGAGGCTTAACCTGGGGACAACTGCAGTCACTTTGGGTTCATCTTTTTACATGACACAGTCACTTGATCCGCTGTTGATATGAAGAGAATGCTAGTGCAGCTTTCAATAGTTCCATAAGTAAATCAGTAAATAAGTAATCAATCAACAGAATAGAGACACTGCTAAATAATATTAGCTTTGCTAATTTTATTTACGTACTTCCACTGCAAATAACATTATAGCTTATTTTATTATTTTTATTTGTTGTGCTCCTTCCGAGTAGCCATTGATAGCATTGGTGATATTGTAAAAGTGACGTGAATATATCGTGGTATTCTAAACTGCAAACTCAGTGCCAATACAACACAGTAGCAAGGGTGCTGCAGATGTAATTAAACATTGTAGTATTTCAACACATTTGGTAATTACGGTTATTTCATGGCTTTGTGCTAAGTGTTTCACAGAAGTGGACACAAGTGGAACCCTTGCTTTGGAGAGGTTTCCGCTCCCCTCACTCTTTGATTACTTAATGGGATTAATTATTCTTCGAAGAAGCAGAGTGACTAAACTGTGCAGGTTTTTACAACCTGTAGCTCCGTAGCAATGCGGAGCTTTAAGTTACTGAATCAGTGTGCTAGAAGAGGGTCGCTTCTTCCGAAAAACTTCACATATTAATCCCCAGATTCACTGTATGGCACAATAAGGACAAGGCCAATAACATTAACTGAAACAAGACAGGATGTAGCCTTTCTTTCACCTCCTAAGACCTGAGCTTAAAGACCGGACCATGTGATGGGTGAAATGTGTTGGTGGTCTGCAGCTATAACAGCCCTGCCTGCACATGCATACACACACAGTCGCCCGAAACCCCCCACTTACAAAAACCTCCCGACCTTCCTTCTAATTGGACTCGGGTGAAGGGAGAGAATAGAGGGGGGGGGGAGGGGGGGTGTTGAGAGGTGGTAGGAGGCGTAAATGTGACCTTTCTTTTTCCTCCGGGGAGATTCCCAAGACACAGTGGGGAGGATTGGTTTCTTTGGGTCTGCTCACAAAAGAGCTTCGGTTTCCTCTGTTGCTGGACAGTCCCTGCGTTTCTACTGTGATTACTCTGCCAGAAGCAGTACAACTACACTTGGTACAGAACAAAAAGTTCTTATTACAGAAAAGCTTAAGCTCATGCTAGCATATATGCAAACCATTGTGTGCCAAAATGGAAGTCCATTTTTCTGTTCACAGCAACAGCCAGGGGTGGACAAAGTACTCAGAACATTTACTTGAGTAAAAGTTGCCGTGCCACACTGTACAAGCCCCATTGCAACTTTTACTGTAGTAAACATACAAAAGTATGTTTTAAGTAAGCAATTGTAGATCTACTATAGGTCTAATATGTATCTAATTTATCATGTTATATTTGTAAAACCTTAATCTGCAAATAGTATATTAAATAGTATAGTTGTCTTAGAGTTGTAAGGGATATAAAAAGTCTAAACGTATTAATATATGAATATTTGCCTCTGATATGTTTTTGAATTTAAATAAATTGAATGTGAAGTACCTCAAATTGATGCTTAACGTTAGCTCTCCTACCGCTGGTAACACCATAATTCCCCATGCTACACACCTACACCGATGCTCCCGGTCCACCGATGGACTGCTGTTTCCCTTCATTTATTCCTGTAATGGTTAAATTACTCCACACTCAGTTTTTGTAGTGAGTTGCTTTCAGATACGGTGTCTTTTATGTGTGTTATACTTGAGTCTTTTCATGGTCCAGGCGAGGTGTTGTGTTGTTAATGGGGGAACCAGCTAAGCTGTCCTGCTGCACACGTCGGCCACAGCACACCAGACTCACCCAGCACCTATTTCCTGTTCAGTGTGTCCTGTTACACGCGTTCAGCTCAGTTTAATTGTGCTCAGTAAACTAACGCTGACTGAAAATGCACATGAGGAGCAAGAAAAGTTCATTATTGACCTTGGAAACCGTGGTTTAGTTTTGTTGACGGAAAAATATCTTTTTCCGGAGCTTTCAGCCACATCTCACAGTCTTCATCAGCGAATGTGATTAAAACCAGATGGTTGAATGCTCTGGAAAAGCCAGTAAGTTGACCATGAGTTTTGATTTATTAATGCTCTTTTTTTGCATTTGTATTTCAATCTAATAAATTACACATTTTGATGAAATTGGTTATTTCCATAATAATGACATCCCGACAAAAAATGAAATAAAATCCTATATAAAATGCGGTATTATTAATGCACTAAGTTAAAATCACATTTAGTTGCATTGACCGAGACCCGATACAGCTATACGATACTTATGTATGTACTTGTGTTTTTAGAAGAGAGAATATTAACTCTAAACGAAAATGAGCATTATATGATTTATTTTCACCCTAAAAAAAATGCAACATCAAGGTACGTTTTAGTCATGCAGGTCGCTGATCGGGCTCAACCAAACAATCAGAGGATTTGAGCCGCCTGTACGAGAAAAGGTCCCAAAGCCCTTGCTACTAAAAGCTTCTTGTTGTGAGCTCACAGTAATTATTGAAGGCAAGCCAGATGAACATATCCTCATTTAGATCAACTCCACTGCTCTGTCATCGGGATAAAAACTGCTGGACAGACAGATTTTAGTTGGTAAATCAAACCGAAACTGTATGTAAGTATTGTGCGATACAAAAAAGTATTTTCCAAAATGAAAGGGGTGTCCCCATTCCCATTGGAATTATACCTGCTGTGTCACATATTTATCCTCCATTAGTCAAAAAGTGGCTATCCCATTTCAGGCAAATATGGAACCTAGAGGTGATAGAAATAATCAATTATTTCATTAGTTGATTAACAAAAAATTATTGGGAACTATTTTGATAGTTGATTAAGAAATTAGGTCATTTTTAAATCTAAAATGTTAAAACAAAAAAACGTATTGAATGTGAGGATTTGCTGCTTTTCTCTGTTAGATCTTTGTTAATTAAATATATTTGGGTTTTGAACAAATCAAAACATTTGAAGACATCACCTTGGAAATTGGGTCTTTCGGTCTTTTTCAGTTTTCTGAAATATTATCGACCCCACGATAGTGAAAATATTTAGCTGCAATCCTAATGAAATATATTCAAAATTGAACACAATGTCATGACTGCTAGTACTCCTGTAATTGCTCATTGAAACCTCTCATTCCAACTTGTAATAATGCTATTATTACAAGTTTGACTTTTATCCAGAAGTTGTTACCGTTCCACTCCAGTCAAAAATTAGTGGTGATAACATCGTAAGTACTATTACCAAAAATTGTGAAAAAACTGTCAGGAGCATACACATCAGGCAGTGGTGAGTGAGGTATAACAGTCATGACATTTATCATAACATAATTCACAGCAACATGTATGAAATAAAAATGAATAACACACTTGTCTTTGTCTGTAGCCATACATAATATATATGCACATTTGTACCACACGTTTCACAAATTTCAAGATATTTCACAACAACAGCACCAAAGAGCATTTCATTGATTCCTCAACCCGCTAATACATTCATTCATTCATTCATTATTTTCCAGATATACTAATAATCTATTAGATACAGAAGTGAATAATTTACAATAAAATAACAATTTTGAATTTCCAGTACTTTTAAACTACAATAATTCATCCAGTCTCCACATGCATTAGTCTTTTATGAAGGCTGTGGATTTTCACACAGGAAGGAAAGGTTATTGTATCGTCTTATTGGTTAAAAAAACTGTTGCCTTGTAGTGTTCAACAAAGCAAGCAGCTTACTAATGCTGAAAAGCTTTTCTTCAGAACTCCCCCTTCTTCAGGAACTCATTCCTTTGCTTAGCTCGTGCATGGAATAGAAATTGTACACCAAATACTCTGAGAACTCACAGTGGTATTAAAATCACAGACAAAAGAAGAGTCAGGTACTGCATCTTGAAGACCAAAATGCCACAAAGTGAAGACTTTTGTTGTAAAATGTTGAAGTCCTCACCAAACCATAGAGAAAACAACACTGAACAATAGAACAATCGTACTGTATGACAACACCTTCTCTGGATTATGTTTTGGTTTGGTCCAAACTTAATACAAACAGATATACCAAGAATATTTTTGGACGCTGAATTTTTACGAGGCATCCGCGTAAGCAAATCGCATTCACATGTCAAATGCATTGGGTTTGATGCTGACAGCGGCCTTGCAGTGACCTTCAAACAGAGGCACTTTTATTTCCTTCCCCAATCCTGTGTGGAGAAATTGGCCTTGCTTGTTCATTCATAATGCTGCATTTTAAATTTACATTTTTTGATTTGCTGATTGGATCTCACAAACAGCTGCTCGCTTTCTTTCCCTACATCTACCCAACACAATCAACTAATAAAACACAATTCAGAAGAGGTACCATCACTTTACACTTTCTGTCACCAATCCTGTACTCCTTGCTATACATTATGTCCCACTTCTCTTACAGCGGCAGAGCTTCTGTGGTAAGAAGCAGCCATATTCTCTGGGCCCCTGTGTTGTGTATATTGTAATTTGGAATTCATAGAAATAATTAAACGTGTTTTAAGAGAAACCTGAAAGATCCCTCATTAATCTCATTAGGTGTCAGAGTTTCTCTAAGTCTCTGTAACAAAGTCCTGTATGAACATTTTGTGCAAAATCCTTCCTCCGCCACCCTGTCCTTGTTAGATGAGCTTGTGTAGGTCATTGTTTTCTTCCTTATACAAGGCGCCATTTGTGCAACTGGAATACATGAACTGCTACAGAACATGACACAGACAGATGAAAGAGAATGAGCAAAACCAAACAAAGACAATAGAAGCCAGGAAAACAACTAGAACGTGTCCAGACGAAACAGGAATCCAGTTATATGAAAACAAAGCATCATTCCACAATTTTCTTGTCCATGGATTCTTTGCCATTGGTCCGCATGTAAGGCTCAAAAGCAGAGGAGCTCAGGTAGCGGGCGGAAAGTTCCTGCAGGTTGCCGGCCAGCGAGCCGGCCATGGACAGGGGGTTGGAGGAAATGCGGGTGGAGACACTACTGAGTAAGGAGGGCATGGGGAAGCTGAAGAGGGCGTGACCCGCCTGTGAGCTCTGCAGGCTCGCCACTGTCCCTGAGCTGGTGACGACGGGTAGTGGAGGGCTGCCCCCCGCCGTGCCGGTGCTGCCGCCGCTGCTGTTGCCACTGCTGCCGTTGCTGGCCATCGTCATGGAGGGAGGGCGCAGGGTGGAGCCCAGTGTGCCGCTGCCACAGTGGGGCAGGAGGCCCGGCAGGCCGGGAGGCGTCAGCAGCCGTCCCTGCTCCAGTAGTCTGAGGACGCTGCAGGTCGCTGCTGTTTCTGAAACCACTGAACGCAGCTCAGAGTCCTTCCCCTGGTCTTTCTTCTGCTTAGTGCGCCGGTTCTGGAACCAGACCTTCACCTGGAGAGGAACACAGATGAGAGAAAAAGCCTTTAGAGACACATCCTAAATCTAATGTAAATGTTTAGTTTAGTCATAGTTCATGTATTATTGTTGATAAAAAATATGAATTAAAATGTATATAGCATTACTTTGAGAAACATATTTCTAATGTTGGTGTTAAAACGGCAATAATTCTTATTCATTGATAGGTAACCGAGTTGTTACAGCGCATAATATGTAACCTTTGTTGCATGTCATACCCCCATCTCTCTGCCCAGTCAACTATCCAATAAAGATGCCAAACAAATGTCATTAAAAGAGGCCAGTGATCATAGTACATCTGATAATCTCAGTGCTTGGAAATAAGTGCACCATGAGCTATACAACGGTGTCTCCACAGATTAACTTGATTGCTTTTACCCATAGCTTTTGTTCTCAAATCAAAAGTAGCAAAGCCCCTGTCCATCCCAAACTCATTGACCACATGCACTTTCAGATACTTACTAATGCATTGAAGCTATATGTAGGGACGCTTACTCACACACGCATTGTCCACCAGGTAATGATTGATCAAAAGCTGCAGTGATTCAATTCAGTCATGGAGGAGAGGCCTCACTGTGACGGTTTAGACGGCTGGAGGCTAATTCAATCAAAACTTGCTCAGAAGCCTTTCATATGTAAAACACTGCTAAACTTCCTCACCCGCCTACACTCCAAAAGGTTCAAGCATGAACTCAGATCTCAATATTCAGCTCCCGTGTGTTATTTTGTCTTTGAAACCTGCATATAAAAAAACAATACAATTATTTTATTGTTTATTGATTTATTGCTTTTTGTTGTTGTCATCATGTTTAAAAATTGTGGTATGGTGTTATTTTACTAAACTGAAATTATTAGCTGAGACTTACAGAAAATCAATCATTTTGATAATTGTTTGATTTATTTAGCAGAAAACATAAACATTCACTGGAGTCGCTTTTCAAATGTAAGGATTTGGGGATTTCTTCTGTTTTGGATTATTGTAAATTGAATATCTTTGTAAACTTTTTTCATAGATTAAGCAAACAATTGGAAATCTACATCACAAATGAAAGTCATTTTAAATTGCACCCTTGATGTTGTTTGTCTACAGTAGCTGTTCCAAGATAAACTACACATTTTAACACATTCACCTAAAGTGCTTTATCTCCGACCTCCAGATTCAAAATGGCCACCATGAATGATCCGTACCTTCTTTAATTAGCATCGTGGCATGTCCTAGCCCTGAACAAGTAGAATTACATAAAACCTAAGAAATTCTAAAATTCTTCTATGAAAATCTAAGAGAAGGCTGACATGATTACATCTTGTAAAATGATAACATCTGATTGGTTATTCTTGTAGTTTCTAATAGCAAAGTTCATCTACTCAATTTGTTTCAGAAATGTTGCGAATGTTTCACACTGTTTTTAGATTTTAAGGGAAGTATGTCTAGTATACTGTATATTCAGCAGTTAATGGAGTATCAAGAGGAAGAAAAACACATACTCAATATTCCCATCATACCTCAGGATGAGAAAAGAATGCACTCGTGATAATTTAATAATTAGGTCAAGTCATCCATCTGACTCAACAGATCCATTTAGAGATTCTGACGTATCCATTGTTCAGTTTCACATAATCTTAATTGAACAATTAGAGAGTTTTCTATGACTTGTACCTGTAAGTCTACTGTAGTCACACCTGACTGCTTTTATATGGAATAAGCAGCAATCCACCATCTCAATCCTATTGCTCGTGCAATCACATTCCATTTTTTTTAGTCTGTGGTTTAACTCTTCAACCAGCTGTTAACAAGTATTTCACATCAAGAAGCCCTGGGGCTCCATCCAATAGCTTCTGTTTGCTACGTAAAGATTGCTCAAAAAGGAACATCTTCTTCATTTTGGAGGTTACATTCTCAGTGCAAAGAAAACAAGGGGACGCTGGGAGCTCTACTAAAGATGAGCTGTGCACACAACAAATGGCTGTCATTCCTTAATGTAACAAGCCGTGAGTACCGGGGAACAAAATGTTAAATTCACCCGTTGTCATTAAAAGACATTTCATCAGGCACTGCCTTTGTGCTGCATAAGTAGGGAATAAAGGTTATGTCTATATCACCTTTATGTGAGCGAAATAACATCTTCAAACACTTTATTTACTTGTGTTGAATTTTTGTGAAAAAAGAAAAGCAGCAATAATGTTCAAATAAAATATTTAAATATTTAAAATGTAAAAAACTAAAGCAAATAAAAATGTAAAATCGCTGTTGATAAAGAGAAAAGTGAGTTTGTTGCACGTCAACAAACAGTTTCAAGTTGTCGGCTATGATGTCATTTTGTGAGAAAAGGTTGACCTCCCGCAGACCTCCACTTAAGGTCAACCTCCTTCCGCCGCATGAAAGCCCCGACACATTAGCACCAAAGACCAAGGTAGCCCGTTAGCCGCTTTGCACATTTATAAAAATAACAACTAGATGAATGAGACTGGAGGTGAAAACACACCAAAGCTTTGAAGAAACAGTCCAGATCATACATGGTGACCGGTCGGCTGGTGTCAAACACAGGGTGCAAATGCTGTTCCTCCGCAGTGCATGACCTGCTGCTGAACCCACGAGTCTGCGCTTTTTCTAATGGCAGCTTTCCTTTCAGCAGCTTCAGGTAATAATGTCAAACACTCCATAAGCTATGTTGACACTGCATTAGATGTATTAAGAAGGCCAATGCACTCACTTGAAATGGATGGATGCATAGCCTACTAGAAATATTTCTGAGGGAAACTCTTTAAGATAGAATCCAAGAGATGAAAGCAAAACAAAGGTTCACCCCGGCGCCTATATTCAAAACACTGAGTTGGAGCCTGCGATGTCTGTGAAGACTAACACTCAACAACAACTACAGGTTTGTAATGATTATTGGTGGCATTAGATATCTGTTTATTTTTATATGTAGTGCTCATAAAACAGGCCAATTTCCATCTGGACTCAAACTGTAACTTTGCATGTGAGTATACCTCGTGTTATATGGAAGAAAACTGATTGGATCTTTAAAATATTCTAACTGCTTTGTCAGAAATAGACTTGATTATTTATTTGCCGAGGCTTACAAATGAATTGGATTATAAGGGTAATTTCACCTTCCTTAGCGGTCCTAAAAGATTGTAACATGATTATCTTAAATCAAAATAGATGGTAGTGTTTGGTGTAAAAACTGAAGATGAAAAGGGAAATGACATTAAATTCACACTATATAATATTGTTATTTCAGTTCAAGCAAAAGCACCCGTTATGTCCTTTGCACATTAGATTGTCCAGTTTTCACAGAGCAAATGCACATTTGTTTAACCTAGTATGGTACAAGAACAATGCATACATACCTGAGTTTCAGACAGATTGAGCTGACGGGCCAGTTCTGTCCGTTCCCTCCCAACCACATACTGGCACCTCTGAAACTCCATCTCTAACCGGTAGAGCTGCTCTGCAGTGAAAGAGGTGCGGGTTCGTTTGGGCCGGTCCAGATCCAAACCCTTCGGCAGGATAATCTCTCGGATAGAGCCTTTAGCATCTGCAACAGTTGAATTAACTTTGAATTAACAATACTGGGGCAAAGAACAATTACAACAGATAAATAACAAATATGCTCCTAGCTGTAGATAGCTTTTACATTGTTCATTATACAAAACATTATTATTATTATCATAGCACAGTAGTGGAGGTTATGAGATTGTAAAATACCGAGTCAAATTAAGATTTGATTTACTAATTTAAACATATGATAAAGTGTATAACATTTGACTGTGGGCTTCATATCAGTGTATGTGGAGTAAATGTGACATAATGTGTGTTTGAATAATGCATTACATCGAAGAGTTTACAACACATTCATTCTTTAGGGTACAATTAATCCCAATTAAATCTTATGAACCTAAAAACTCCAAATCTCTGTTATTTGGTATGAAAAGATGAGATGTGTTTGAAAAGTTACATTTATATAATTACAGCATGTTTACAAATGTGTGCACATAAGTGATTACATAAAAAATGTATTCTACTATAAATAACTGAAATATGTTGCGGTTCCATTTCAGTTCACACATGTAGTCTATGTTACCACAAAGAGAAATTACAACAATGGGAGAAGGCCAAAATTCTAAAAAACCCAAAATAAACCTAATCTCTGTCCAACAATGTGTGTATAATTTTTAAATGTTGAGATTTTAAAAAGATTTTGAAGATTTTAAAATATTAAACTGACTACAATTCCATATAATGGCAAATAAATGTGGTTGCAATGATGCAATCAATGAATTCATATTATTAAAAACAAATATTGATGCAGTGATATCCAATAGAACATTTTAGTTTCTCTATATTTCCGGTAGTGAGGCTGCTCATTCTCATTACATCTTGCATAACTAATCCACTGTTTTTGGTGAAGTTATATTCACAGTTTGTTTTCATTGACTCTCAGTGTTGAGCCAACACTGCATGAAGGACATTACATTAATCACTCTCTGGGCAACTGACACTCGTACACACAATTTTACGCTATCATTTGTTGACATTCAATATCTGTAAAAACAAACTCCCGTCTCCTTTTTTCTGTGTTTTAATATTTATAATCTCAATATTTATCAGCCTGAAAGTGGAATTTAAATGAACCCATGGGAATATAAGTGAATTGTTTATTTTGATAATTAACATTAAACATATTTGAATAATTTTACATTAGGTATTATTTAAGTATGAAATCCCCCTGAACAATTTGCCCGTCATGACAAAATCATTGAGGTCATAAAGAACTCTCTTACATTTTTATATTCCTATAATTGTACTTTTTTCAAAATAAAATGTTTGATTGAGAGGATATTTTTGCTATTAACTCTTAAGTTCAGTGAAATCCTCCAAATTGTGAACTTTCTCTCTATTTATCTACAACTACTGTCTGATATTACAAAAGCTTCATTGCAGCTCTGTTCTTGAAGGTACTCTCTCATGTGCTTGAATGTAAAATGTTATCTAACTGCAGTTTAGACAATGTTTCCTCAAGATTATGTACGAGAACTGTATGATCTCAGAAGTACGACATGCACTGCAAGTTCCAAAAAGGAAAAAAAGAGAAAGACCACAAGTCTTACCTCGGACTAGTATTCTCCGACAGTAGTCTGGGTCCGCCGTGCTCCCTCTGTTCTTCTCGAAGGTGTCCACGGTCCCAGAGGGGGAAAAGGAGTCTGGCTGCTCCTTGAGGAAGCTTTTGGACAAGCTGCCCTGGGAGTCCTTCTCATCTTTCCCCTTCTTTAGTCCATTCCTCAGACCCATCCCTTCTGTCTCTTGGTTGTACCTGACCTCCATGCTCAGTTTATCCTCCTGGACCTGTGGCTTGTCTGCCTCTTTTTTTCCTTTGTCAGGTTAAAAAAAAAGGAGATTACAGAGAACACGGAGCAGCCGATCGTCTGGACAGTGTGGGGTTTAGTTTCAAAACAGCACCTTTCAGCAGGGCAGAGTCAGCTATCTAATGTCTGGTGAAATACTTCCGTCCGCCGACCAAGGAGCCCTGTTATCACTGACCAAACTCCCTTGCCCAATGATCATGGACTTCTCAGTGAAACTCAACAGTAATTCAATGCCCCCCTTTCCTTGTTACATAGACATCAGGCTGATAGATGATCTCCAAATAATCAGAGCCATGGATGCGCACTCGCTGTTTCAATTGATTACGGTAATTTTACTGCCTCCACATTTGCGTAACCTCATGAATACACTCAATTGTTTGGGGAAATAGATCAGGTCTTGATAGAGGGGTTTGCTCATCCCGTCCCCCTCAGTTTGCCTGCTCTCAGCCCAGAGAATCAAGAGAAATTATTGGTCTTGCCTCGCAACCAAGCCTCCGCAAACCCCACATGAACGCACACAATCACAGAGATACGACTCTTCCAGACCTGAAAAAAGTTCCCGGGCGCTTCATTCTTCCATCCGCAGACCACAGCCAGACAATTTTCCCCCGACTTTTCACAGCGCACGTGATTGCCGCAGCATGTCAGCGAACTTTGATCCTGTTTTTCCTTTTGACTCTCTCACCAATCAACGGAATTCTGCAATGTGCGGATCTCGCCACTACGCTATTGTAGGCAAGAGGCACTAGGAGAGAGCTGGAGAGAGAGAAAGGTGAAAAGGATAACGAACAAATCCCCGCCGGTCAAAATGTATCAAGGCAATGACGACCAAGCCAGTTTGAGCACTGAAAAACCGCCAGGCTCTACTTTACCGGGGATCGTGTTCATGTTTCCTGTGTTTATTCAAAGAGCTACGCAGAGCAAACCAGCGACGTCCCGGCCGCTAACGCTACATCCTTCAGTATTCAAATGATTGCACCCCAGAAGCCACCTTCAGCGCTCATATTCTTAACCTGCACATTTGAAAACGACAAAAAAGGGGAACAAAGCTTGTCATTAGTGTTTAGGCTGCCTACACTCTCTCTCATACACGCATACCTCTGGAATGGCCCCTTCCTCTCTCCACCACTCGCCTTCCAGCCCACTACACACCCACCCAACCGCCAACTCTAAGCTATTTTCATTGTCAGTGCAACAATATCTCTGAACACAGCAGTGGCCAGTAATCCAATAAGACCATTGATTAGGCCACAATGATTCAATTCAAACCCGTGGCCTAGTGCAAGGAGCATTCTCTGGCCCTTCTTGTCACCTTAGCTGGCCAGAAGCCCTCTTAAATCTGCCCCCCTCCCTGAGTGCCATTCATGCCTTTATGGGAAACAGGGAGGAAAAGGAGTGAAAGATGGCAATTATCTAATTGGACTATTAACAAACAATTCTGCGAGTGTGGCTGCCCGGCAGCAGTCTAGGGGTGGGTTTAAGGGCCACATGTTGGACTAACTTTATTCACTGAGTGTTTGGGGGGCTGCTGCTTGGAGAGGGGCAGGATCCATTGTTTGAGAAAGGTAAAAAGGAGGCAAAGAAGGGAGCGACTAAAGGGGACCTGGGCTTCTCAAGCTGTGGTGCAGAGCCTCAGCCTGGGAAATCAATTGAGGACGCAGTGTCTTGGCCTCTCAGCTGCACACAATGACTGAGGAGGAGAAAAGACTGATGTGCTCAGTTTCCACATCCCAAAAAATATAACAGACTTAATATTGGAATGTGTGAAGAACATGTGTACTGTAGCGCAACATGTAATCTATTCAATTCAATTTATTTTGTATAGCCCCAAATTACAAATTTGCCTCACAGGGCTTTACGATCTGTACACATACGACATCCTCTGTCCTGGGACCCTCACATCGGAACAGGGAAAAAAGGTAGGATCCCTCTATCAGGATGGACAGAAGTGTGATAGATGTCATGTGTACAGAATGAACAACATAACAGAGTTACAACACATTCAATGCATATGACATAAATTATTCATATAATCAGAGTACGAAGCAGAATAATGATGGAAAAATTACAACTACTAATAATAACAGCAGAAGTGGATATAGTTAACAATGATACCAAAAGCAGTAATGGTATCGGCAATAGCAAGCAATGCGACTACTACTAATAATAATAGTAGGAGTGGGTGTCAGGCAGGACCACGGCAGGAGGAAGGACCAGGGTCCAGATATAACCACGATCCATGGAAACCTGCGAGGCAAGAAAGCACAAAGACTCTGGGAAATAAGCAGAGTCAGTAATGTGCGTAAAGGTATCATTACTGTATGGAATTACAATTGATAGATTTTACAAGCACATTCCTAAATGTATTAGCCTTGTAAATGATACACACTGACACATACAGTACATCGCAGTGCAAGTCCCATGGAAAATGTGAAAAGTACATTCAAAACTAGAAACAACCACCAAAATTCTATTACAGGCTTCACTAATGTAATTCTGTACATGAAGGATTTCACACAGATACAGGTTTTCTGATTTAATACTACTTGAAATTAGCAGTATGAAAAGGGGAAAATCCCCGTACGCAGCCATTATGCTGAACAGGCTATAGGACGGTGTACTGATAAAGAAGTGTTTGCCAGTGATTTCACTGGACAGACTGATATGAAGCCCACAGCCTTTAATGGTAAATGGCAAAATGGACCGTACTTCTATAAAGCTTTTCTAGTCTTCCGACCATTCAAAGGTTACCATGCAAGGTGCCACCTGCCCATCAGCACTAAGTAACATTCATACAACATTCACACACTGTAGGCACAACTACGGGAGCAACTTGGGGTTAAGTGTCGAACCGCCAATCCTCTGACTGAAGGACGACCCTGCTCTAATACTGATCCACAGTCGCTCCCTTTACCTGCCGTCAAGCTGCTACACTTGGTAAGTGTGACCTTGTTCATTGTGTTTACTAGCTGTCTTTGGTCAGTGACTTCAGAAAACAGACCAGGAGTCTGTACTACGAAGAGACTTCAACATACCCAGGGTATCTTTAGGTTATCAATCATGGTCCCGCTAAAAGGTCCTACGGAGCTGTTTATCAACTCGGTAAGACAACCAAGGGTTCCTCAATCTGGTTATGAGCCCGTTCACATAAAGGGGCGACGTTTGCAGCATCTGACCAATCACAAACATGGACAAGTTGCTGTCAGCGGAGCGGCGCATTTTACAAATTAAGAGAAGACTATAATATCAGACAAATACGAAGAAGTTAAACACATAATTCAGTCTGAAAGTAACATAATTTGAACTGCCGAAGTCAGAAAAGACAGCTGTGTGAATGTGTCAATTAACAAATCTATAATATCACTGCTTCATCGAGAGCATGATAGACTGTAATTAAATGTGTGTATTCTGTTAAGTTAATGTGTTGCTGCAATGTATTCTTATACTTTCAGCTGCAACTCCGGCAATATGAAACAGACTTAGGGGCAAATAAAAAATATATCAAAAACATAATTCAAAGCAGTAAGAAGGTTTCCTTCCAGACCTAAATCCCCCAAAGCAAAGACAAACATAAGCTGAGCAAAGTAACACTGCATCCAATCTGTGACTGTAAGACACGACTCCAACATGTCACACTGAAACACACGGCTCAAGAAGCTGACACACATAATGAATAAGTGTAAGAATAAGAGAATTTATATTGATTTTTTTTTTTTGCTATTGCTAATTAGAATATTAGAATAGATGAAACATTAATTTAACAATATAGACACATGTAATTATAATCCGATCTATCGGGCTCTAGGTGAGACTGATATTATAAATCTGTTCATTTACACATTCACACAGACAGGGAGGTATTGCCAGCTGTCTCTTTTGCATGTGTCTGTTTCATATGTGTTGCTTTTAGTCTGGATTGTGACTCCAACATAACCTGCTCCGGAGCAGACTAGGTGTGAAGCATAAGTAACCATGGTGATCTATCCCAGTAAGAAGTGAACCTCTGTCGTGGAACTGCAGACCTAGAGTTAACTCTGAGTTTACCTCGAGTTTACCTCGATAACCCCAAGTCCTGCTTCGTTGTACAGGCCTCAAGTTGATGCAATGGACAATGATATGTTGTGTTTTATTTTCGCCTGATGTAGGTGGTTAGGCAAGACAGTAAGACATTGAGTAAATGCAGGGAGAAGCTGGGCAGCATCTGAAACAGAGTCAGCTAACTACAGTATGCCAGGAGGATGTAAAGCTACCAGTTTATTCATGTCTAATATCGTCAGTAAACAGTCAGAACTAATATGGGGATATTTATTGTTTTCCCTGACCCTTTTTCTCCATTTGAAAACACAAACAGTAGCACACTTCTGTATTAGTAATAACGTTGCGCAGCTTATATACAGCTCCACCTTTTGCATTTATGGCCTATTTGACTCTAAATGGACCATAATTTACTAAATGAACATCATGCTGTATTGAAGAAGACTTGAAACTAGAGATTGAGACCATAAACTCATGTTTACAATGTTTACTGAGGTAATAAATCAAGAGAGAGGCCAAATCCCCCCTTACGGACTCACGGACTTTGAGGCGCGCTCCCGCGAAGTCCGTGAGGGTTTAGGGATGTCCCACTGTCAAATCATCAAGTGTTTGAGGCTCTCTCGCAGACATTTTGAGCCCTTTATGAACCATTTCCGTAAGTCAGCATGGTATGCTGACTTAGCCTAAGGGAATTACCCACAAATCATTGCAATGTGACATTAAACATGGGGTAACCAGTGGACGCATGGAGACGTAAAAAAAAAAAGGTAAACAAAGAGGACGGATCACGTGTGTTCAGCCTGTCATAATAAATTTACTCAGAAACATTAAGGGTTAAAGATGGAACAAAAAATAAACATGAAATCAGAAGATATTTATTTATTTATTCATCAAATATTTGATTTTGTCATTGAAGCTGTTTTGACAAAAACGAGTAAATAGATGATATGAAGTTACCTCTCATCTTGTGAGGAAAGAGCCTGAAGACTTTCAAGTCAGGGAGTACAAAGTATAAAATAAATACACACAATTATACATCATATTTCTTGTCGTTTTCATGGTAACGTGATATGTTGCAGCAAAGTGCTGTCCCATTCCTATTTCCACCATCTCAACCCCTCACAGTCTCTCACACTCACCCACTTACCAGGTGACATCAGTAAGTCCTTGAGGGTTCAGGGTTTGAGGGTTTAGGGGGGACATTGGGATTTGGCCAGTCATTTTCTCATAGACTGCTATACAACCAGAGGAGTCGCCCCCTGCTGGTCATTAGAGAGAATGCAGCTTTAACACGAAGCTTTGGCATCACTTTTCAGACTCGGACGTTGCCGCCTGATGTGCAGGGTATTCCTTGGAGATGACAACAGTTAATTCTGCGTAAGCTATTGGAGAATGAGTATCGTCATTTAGTCTTGGTCCACCCACACTTGACTAATCAGGGCTATTGAGAGACCCCTAGCAGAAAGTATCAAAAACTCCCTGTATGATGGTGATACAGTTTTGTAAAATGAAAATTTGATTTATATTTGTTTTATATATAACTCCTCAATACTTTCACACAGTAAGTAATGTATGGAACTATATGTTCACAGTGTGTAATTAAGTTCCATTTAAGAAATAAAATTGTATTATTGCAAATGTCTATGGAATGTTTGCTTTAAAATAATTTATATATTGTCTCAATGAATGAAATAAAAATATAGGGGCAGCTAGGGGCGTGGCTTAGGTGTTTGTGAGACAACACAGAGAGGCGACTCTTCGTTCTCAACAACAATGGTGGCTCCTAAAGAGGTTAGTGTAGATGCTAGAGTAGCATTTGTTCTATTGCAACTGGAGAGTATTTCTTCATTGAAAGAAGAGAAAAGAACGACACTGAAGGCTTTTCTCCATAGAAAAGATGTTTTTTCGCTCTTCTACTGACTCCCTTCAGTAAGAGTTTGAATTACAGCTGGATCTGCCAACCACCGACTCGCTCCAATCGGGAATGCCCCGGACGGCCCTGCACTAGTGTACAAAATATACAAAAATGTGTCTAACACAGAGCCTTGGGGAACTTGAAAAGTAATATTTTAGATCATGGTATTTATTTGAACATGCCTGTTGCCATTCTTAACTTAGCCTTTGTGTTTCACACCGCTCATGCAATATATTTCTACATTATCAAGTGGTAAACCATGGTCAGTAATATGAAATGTTTCTTTTTTAATCAAGACCGATCACTCTCACTGTATCTTCATTAT